ACTCAATAATATTGTACAATATCTTCAACAGTGATTGGTATTGGTGAATGTCTATTCTGGTTCAAGATTAAAGCTTAAACTAAACTAACAGGAACTGTACAGGACATGGACTTTCGAATGGAGAATACATATCGTGCCTTTTATTCTTTATTTGACTTCGTGTTTCAAGGGCATTTCTACGTGGTAAAAATGAGTTATTTTTCTTTTGAGGAAGTATTATAAGCGAAAGATCAAACTACTAAATAATCAGCGCTTAGACTAAGTGTTTGCTATTAACGAAAGACTGTTAATATTGGTTTCACCGTGAGAGTATGAAAAAGTTTTCTTTCTCTAACATGTATATGAACAGCACAAACTTGAATATTATTCTGTAATCATAAGATGCACGTAATCAAACTTCAAGTGAACTTTTTTTTGGCATTATTATACATATTCAGATTCAGCTTAACAAGCTGATTACGAATAACAATACTGGGATGAAATACTGTCAATGGCTGCTTTCTAACTACTATTATCTGAGCTACAACTGACTTATTCTATACGTAAGTCTCGCATGCCGTTTTGATATTTATAACATGTTAGTGGATCAGTTTTGGTTAGGCATCTGTTAGCCATCTCTCGGAGTTGAGGACGCTTGTCTTTCCTTTTCAACGAACTACACTTTGCACTTTTTTTTTTGCACGAGCTGATTACGAATAACACCTTTCGAGCCTCCAAAAGCCATTTCTTTATGGAGAAAAACTCAAATTACTGAGAGGACCTCAAAAATACCCAAAACCGTCCTCTATGATGAAATTGACTTTTTGTGCTTGTATTGCAAGATGGAAAGTTCGAACTATATTTTTCTGAATCAGCATTGAAAACTGATTTAGCAAAGGTTTTCACTTTTCACTCAATAAACATCGGAACGAGTTCAGACCTTCAGAATATAGAGTATTTAAGCATTCTATATCTTATTTATAGGAGATCTTAAAAAAGTTTACAAAACCCTAAGATTTTCCAAAAGGATTCTCATTAACGCAAATATGCTTTTTCGATTTTTTCGACCTTATGATCACGTTTAGCGGAGAAAATCGATCATATCCTGAAGGTCTGAACTCGTTCCGATGTTTACTGAGTGAAAAGTGAACTTTTTAATAGTTGAAACGGCTTGAAAACCCAAATTTTCGTAAAACTCACTTTTGGGTAGACTTTCACAACTTTTTTTAAAAACAAATATTGTCACAAGACTCAGCACGATCGATTACCTATAGTCCATCCGTTTTCAAGCGTACCAATAGTCATCGGGTGCCAGTTCTGGGACTCGCAAGAAATCCGACACAACACCCGAACCGCGGAAAACCAAGGTCTTGCTTAACTCTCATTTTGAAGAAGATACCCTGGGCCATCATAGCATGAAAGAAAATCAATACGATCCTATTGAAAATTTTTACACACGGCCTGGTTTTCCAAAGATCTCCTCGCTGTTTCTCTTAGGTTTTCAGTAAAAGCCGTTTTTCTCAGCAAGGAAAACGAATTTGAAAAAAGCTCTACGTACTTTTAAAGCTGGCGTGTTGGCCAATCTGATGCTGGTGAATCATCGAAATAGCCCTTCACCCAAAAAACTAGATAGATTTACAAAATGAGGCATGCCCAGTTGACAGCCGTTTGTTCGGACGTCCATGGCGGACGACTGTTTACCTCTGGAATGAATTGAAAGACAAGCGTCCTCAACTCCGAGAGATGGCTAACAGATGCCTAACCAAAACTGATCCACTAACATGTTATAAATATCAAAACGGCATGCGAGACTTACGTATAGAATAAGTCAGTTGTAGCTCAGATAATAGTAGTTAGAAAGCAGCCATTGACAGTATTTCATCCTAGCGTTTATCGTGATTTTCTTTACAATCACTCTTTTTTGGCGATTATTTTGCGATTCACTAACCTCTTTTTGACTTTTTCTTATAGTATTTTCTCATGATTAATGTAAAAAAATGTGCTTTTTCGAAAAGTCGAAAATACGACATCAGAGGAAGTAGAATACATATTTGATGTTATTTTATTGTCGCACTTTCAACTTCATGAAAAAAACACATTTTTCTATTTATTTTCATGGAGTTTATCAAACTACTCATATGATAAGGTTTTCACGTTGGGGTAACGTTCCGTCAAGTAATGGTACTGAGAACAACAATGCTAATAAAGAGGCTTTATGGCGTCTTGTTCTCAAGGTAGGTTTAAACTCAGTAGCAGTCGTTTTTCAAAGCTGTGGTTATATAAAGCTGGCCTTGCTCGAGACGTCAAGGCTGACACTCATGTGAAACCAATCCTTAATAGCAGCTATAAGATGGCTTTCATTGCTCGGTGCCCATTTTATGTGCCTATTACTATGGAAACGTTTCTGAGACTAAAAAAACAATTTTTCTTTGCAGGGAGTATTTTGGACGTCACTTCAATTTTGGCCATGAGCCCATCAAAGTTGCACTCTAAAAGTTCTAAAAACCTATTTTTTTCATAGAAACATTAGTGTTCTATCAGAATGTATCAAAAAATTCGATTCAAAACCATTATTAATTATGAAAAGTCCTTTCAAAGGCAAAAAATGCTCTATTTCACATAATATCACCTTTTGTTTGGTCTGCTGTGCCTTTATTTCAACGTGAATTGGTGAGTTAAGTACTTAAATCAATGCAGTTCTTCATGCTCTATCCAAATGTTACGTTGTAATTTAGGAAAATTTTTTTTTCATTCTGATAGAACACTAATTTTTGTATGAGAAAAATAGGTTTTAAAAGCTTTAGAGTGCGCACTTCGGTGGGCTCATGCCCAAAATTGAAGTGAGTCCAAAAATACTCCCTGCAAAGAAAAATATTTCTTTTTAGTCTCAGAAACGTTTCCATAGACAATAGACCTAATATTCGTGATCAGCATCGAATTCTGCGTCGAATGATGTAGGATTCAATAGATTCGAGGATGAAACGTTTTCGACGTTCTAAAGGTTGGTACAGGGTCGAAAATTTTTCGAAAAAACTGAAAGTCAATTTCTAGAAAGAAATATGTAATTTTGCTCAGAATTTGATGCTGATTCTGACCATATAGTTTTTTCGAAAACAATTCGGATAATGAAAAACGACCTTATTTTACCTTGTCCTTTACATCCTTTTTTGCTAAAAGCTCACTATCTTCATGTTTATTATTTAGAATATGACAAAATCATGAGTATTATTATATTAGCTGATTCGTCTGTAGAATCCGTTGACACAAAATGGCTTAGTACAATTAAAGCAATGGACTATGATACTGCAATTAAACCTTACACGTCTCTTGTTGATACCGGCATTTTTAACCATACGGACGCACTAATCATAACCGACTACGACTTTAAAATTTCTTTATCTCAATCTAGAATTAATACTCTTCAAGAGTTTCTAAAATCAGGCAAATCTGTATATTTACAGTCTGAGTACTCATGCACATATAGTGCAAATAAAGCATTTGCAAATATTACAAATGCATTGGGAGGCAGTTTTAATTGGATACAATCTGTCAACGGAACGCTAAAGCACGCTGAAATCCTCGGCAGCTTTTCTAATAAGCCGCAATCCATACCTTATTTAAATTGTTTTCATTGGGGTTGTTCGGGTAATGCCGGTTCTTATGTTTATCCATTTTTGAAATATGAAAAACATTATTCAGGCTTCTATTTTCATTTACCTAATACCCATATAAACATTTTTTAGTGGTTGACGCGTCTGAAAACGCATGTTCGACGCACGCAGACGCGTCTACGTGCATCGAATTTGCACCATTTCGCTATGTTAAAACGCGTCTTTCCCAAATGCGTCAAGACGCGCCTAAAATAGACGCGTTTAAACGCGTTTTTTCTGTAACAGACGCGTTTAGACGCGCCTGTTTAAGAAAATGTTTTGTAGCCGCGTTTAAACGCGTCTTTCTTATGCGCGTTTAGACGCGTCTGGGAAATTTTTCTTAAAAAAACGCGCTATAACGCGTCTGTTACAGAAAAAACGCGTCAAACCGCGTCTTTTCAGACGCACAGAATTTACATGGGACATAGAGCATTCATAACAATCACCCAAGTGAACTGACTAATGACAGTTCTATTCTGAAAATTTTAAACGACTCAGCATATGAATTACTACATAATTGTATCATTTTCAATAAGACAATACTTTTTTTTGTTGTTGTTGATCTCTGAATAACAAGAGATTAAAAACAAGCAACAACCACAGTTCTGATGACAAAAAGAAGAACAAGCGAGTAGAAGCCTAAACACTAGGCTTGATGTATAAGTTTACTAAGAAGCAAAAAAAAAGAAAAGAAAAGAAATGTAACTGTTGCGAAAACACAGACAACACATTCACATGTATAAAAAGGATATATACAACAGCAAGTTAAAGACAGTATTAAACCTTTTTTTACACGAAATAGAGCAAACAAGCAAGTACATTGTTCAAATGTTGAATGATAAATAAATAAATAAAAAAAATTTGGAAATTTTTTGTTTAATCATCATCAACCTCAGTTAATTTACTGGAATTTTTTTTGTGCGTTGCATCTAGTTGATGAAACCCAATAAGAAAAGCCAAGATTTGTGGACGGTAAAAATAAAATAAAAAAATCAATATTCTGACAGCATAAATGGAACAAGCGAGTGCACACACGAATAAAAAAACAACAACAACAACAACACGAATATTTTTCTTTTCCATAAAAAAAAGTACACCGGGATTTAGATTACAAAGGAAACATCTGCGAGAGAGAATCTTTTTGTTGATCGAAAGATGAATTAAACAGGATATATATATATATACAGAGAGCGCGCGCGAGAGAGAGAGAGCGAGAGAGAGACGGCATGTAATATTCATATATAAACAGTATATAAGTACAAAAAAATAAGCTAGCGTCTACAATACTTATGGAATTCAAGACAGGCTGAGCTTTCTCTTAAAAAAAAGAGATTCTAGAATGTGATGTTTTTGAGCTCTGTACATATTTGTTCATCTTAATGGAACGTTATCCAATGTGGAATTTGATACTAGAACTGAACTACAAGAATTGTTATTTTTCTTTCGATTTTGTTCAATATTATTTGAATCGATATTGCTGATGGTTGTTGACAAAGACACTCCAGTTTCAACACTAAGTGCTAATGCCTCGAGCCACGGATGAGCAACACAAAATGCTGGCCTAAGATGATCAAAATAAAACACATTGAATGATATATATATACATAGTTCTAAGTATGTTTGACTCGAATGTCATTTCATGACTGCAATACCTCGTAGTTTTTAGCTATTTCGTCGAAATAGTTTAATCTGTATTAGTGGAATTTTATACTCTTATTTCTTAGACAGGTGTACAACACAGCAGATGCCATGAAAGCAAAGTTGCATAGGACCTGTTAAAGAGAATGATTATAATCACAAAAAATACCTTGAATTAGGATTAATATCACAACAGGCGATAGCAATGGCGACAAATTGCTTTGGACAATCCTTGTTACAATATTTCTGGCTGAATAAATGAACGTTTAAACCAAAATCTTGTGTACGTGGTAAATAATCAGGATCTGCTTGAACACGGCCTATGATCTAATGAAAGAAAATAGCTTTATCTACAATAATTTATTTGTTTTTTTGTATTTAACAAACCTCACATAACATGATGCCAAATGAAAATATATCAACTCGTTCATCATAGCACTGTCCTTTAAGCATTTCTGGTGCCATCTAAATAAAACAACTAAACTATATTTGTCTCACTTACACAAACATTCACATACCCAATATGGCGATCCTACAACAGTATAACGTTGACGATCACGAAGCATTTGACGACGCGTTTTCGGTCTCACAACAACATTTCCATTCGTTAGAACCGTTACACTTGTACTTCTTTGATTTTTTAGCGTTATCTCATTTTGTTGTTCTTCGTCTTCTTCATCGTCTAGATTTATTCTGCTTAATCCAAAATCAGCGACAACAACTTGACCATTCTATGAAGAAAAAAAGAGAGTTAAAATAATCGCACTTTATATACTTCGAAGAAGGCATACCGGCTTGACGAGACAATTACTTGAATTTAGATCACGATGGATGATGTTCATTAAATGGAGGTATTCCTATGAAAGAGTTCAATAAATTAAATAAAGTTAAAAAAATATTAAAATAAAACCAATTTACCATTCCGGCAGCAATATCTTTGGCAAAACGTAAACGTTGTATCCACGTTAAATCCATAGATAGATCATGTATGATGTTCTTCAATGTACCACCGGCTATATATTCTAGGAGAAAACGAGAAACATGCATAAAATATATAAAAATTCTTTGAAGTGTATACATACCAACAAGAAAACTCATCTGATTATCTTTATCCAATAACAGGCCCATAAATTTTAATACATTTGGATGGATAAGCCGTTTTAGAACTTGTACTTCTTTCACAAATATCTTTTGTGCATCTTTATCCAGCGTTTTTGTTTCTTTCATGACCATAATTTGACCAGTCTTTCTCAGTGTGACCTTGAACAGAAACAAAACAGATTATATAAATTTCTCCGTACATATGTTCCTCCTCCAAGACAACAACTAACACTTCTCCCTCCACATTATCACTAGTATAACTGACATTGCGAGGCGAAAATGCTGATTCTCTGAAACGATGCCATAAAGGATAGAATAAAAGAGTCACAAACCGAACTTTAAGTGACACATCACTAATTTTATCGTTGCTGCTGTTACCAAAATTTGACCTAATCACAACGTTACGTCTGACATAACATGAACACTGAGGAATTAATACAACTGTTAGAAAAAATAAGAAAATAATTTTTCTGTCGTACTTACAGTTCGCGCTATACCATAAAATCCTTGTCCAATAATTGGCCCAAATTCTAAATCATTTGCTCGAAAAACAGTATGCTGAGTCAGATCATGCATAGATGCTGAACGTGATAACAATGGCAACGATCGTTGTGAGCGTCTCCTTGATGATTTACTAAATGAAAAACAATCGAATTAGTTAACACAGCAAAATGATTCAATACTTGAACTTGATATTTTTTTTAATGATTATAAACTCAGCGATCAGCAGAATGTACAAAAAACTTTAGATAAAGAGATATCTATTTTATTCATTATACCTGCTGAAATATGACAAATAAGAGCTCACAACAACCACTCACAGTTGTGTGTTTAAGTCCCAGTATTCTATTTCAAGAAAAAATAAGACGTAAAAGGCATCATATTAAACATGAAACCATGTCGAAATGCCATTATTCTATTCCATTATACTACTTTTCTAAGAATTTTTTCCTCTATTTTTTTTATATAATAAGACAGCCTAAATTTGTGTAAAAAAGAGTTATATGCTGTACACACGCAACTGGAACGAAAAAACCCTTTTTTCTACAGGATATTTTTGTTCTCTCAATCAGTGCATGGCTATTAATCTGTTTAGTTGTATCTTTCTCTGCTAGACTATCTTATTTTTGCTTGTTTTAACATTTACATTTGAAAACAACGCATAAATAAAATGAACTATGAACTCTCGGTGTTCATTTCAGAAATTTGTAAAGTTTTCCCTGTGAAATCTATTTGGCGGGATATTTTTCTTTAACTCATAAAATATAAGTGCGATATTTCAAATTAAAATAAAAAATTTCTTCAATTTCTCTCTCGAATTCTGAATGAGATTCCAGAAATCTTATACCCATTTCAGGATACGTCTTTTATCCTTTAAGAAAGAAATAGTTTAACAGGAATTCGATTCCACTGATTAGTTTTTCTCTTCTACAATTGTTTGTACCTGTAAGTGAAATCTCTTGGTTCCGAAGACGATCTAATATAAACTGAATCGGTACCGTTCAAATCATCGATTACTTCAACTGTTGTCTTATGACGCTTTCGTGTTAAATAATCTGAATTTTCATTGGATTGTTCGTATAATGGATCATATTTGGCTAATGTACAAATATTGCGTGTGTTATTATTTCTTAATATTCTTGTTGCATCCGTGGCGCTTTGACTCCGTGTAAGCTTTTGTCGAGTATCAAGTGCAAAACGTGTCAAATGTTCAATTAAACGTCGACCATGCTATAATGAAGAAAACACAAGAAATATTTTCTTAATTTGTTAATGAAAAAGAAAGAGTTACATACCTCAGCTGCAAGACTTTTTTTCGTAATTGATCGTGATTTACGAAGCGATAATAATTTCATTGAATCACCGTTTGTTGAAATATTGCTAAATCCAATATTGAAATTAGTTCTTCATCAATTAATGAAATTTTACAATGAATTCATACCTTACTAACTCTTGATCATGATCACCTACTCTATACACCTCATCATCGATTTGATGTTCAATTATAGGTGGGTAATCATTTTGTTTCACTGATTTCTTTTTAGGAAATGTTGTCATATTAGATGTCGTTTTTCGATTTGACAAATCAATAAGCATTATTTACAAAAGAAAAACGATTTGTTGTTTTCTTAGGAGATACGGAAAAAAGTAGCTTGTCAATAAGAAAATGATTTTTTCCGATGTTTTTGCATAAAATTGACGAAGATCAAATCAAATAGTAAAGAGACTGATTGCATATTAAGTGTTGAAACATACAAGATACACAATCTAAAACAACAACAAAAACACAATATAAAATTACAAACATTTTGTTGTAAACGATCATTCCTTCTACATTTTGAAGAAAACAAAATTGAAGAGTGAGTGACTGGCGTAAGTAAATGACAAAGAAAACTTACATAGTTCAGTTTGCTAGTTTCCATGTACACTAAAGTTTAAAGCTCATCAATTTCACGCAGTTTTCATTTCTGTTTCTACGCGTAAAAAACCAACAAAAAATCGATAACTTAATAAATTTATTTTACAACTATAACTGCTTTTTGATACCAACAAAGTTGAGTTTAAAAATCAAAAGCAAATTGGTAATTTTTGACCGTCAACTACCTATGTACATCCAACATTTTCAGATGTCTTCTATACTGCTGCAGAATCTTATCATTGTCCTAAACAATAGTTATAGTACACAATAATGAGCATTCATCAAAACAAGCTTATGCGTTGAGTCTTAGGATGCGATTAATGAGAAAAAATATGCTTATTCTATACAGTTTTCTTATTTTCGCAATACCGCTTTGTTTTATCGAAGTTTTGACTCGAAACGAATATAAAATGAGATTCCCATTTCTCTTTTATCTTAACTGACATATTCTACTGTTCTTCATACATATCTTGATAATTACAGCTTGTCCGAGAAAAAATAAAAGGAGAAAATAAAATCTCACTTTATTTTGATTTAAAGTCAAAACTTTAATCAATCAAATTTGTATTGCTAAAACAGGAAAGGGTACGTGAAATAAGCGTAGATTTTCTATCTGATTATATATCATCTAATGAAGAATATAAACTATAAAATATATAGTGTATATAACTATATAAATAACGGATATTATAATTATGTTTAAAATGTAATCATTTATCGACAGCTATTGTCTACATTAAAGAAATAAACGTAGTATAGAAACGAATATAGAAAGAAAGATAAAATTTAAACAAGAAAACATATGAAAAGATGGCATTATTTATTTTAAACGAGTCAATTTAGTCATAGTCTATAAACCTCTTCTCATTTTTCCGAACGACGAACGACTTAATCTTTTAACAAACACTATTACTAGATGAGTATGTGACTAATGTGTATCTCCTTAATTTACTCAATATTCTACTAGTATTCATGTATATACACATTGTAATCAGAAGATAAGAACAAGAATATAAAAATAAAAAATAAAATATAAAACACTACATGACTCATTTTTCTTTCGTTAATAAAACTTTACATTTCAGTTAAATTAATATCATGTCTTTTCTTCACACTGATATATTTCTTCTGATTGACAAGGGATTATATTTGATGTCAAACAGACTAGCGCTTTATATCCTCCTAATTTTCAGTTTCTTGCTCAACGCGTCCTTAAATATCTACTTCACCAAACATGACGAAAAAAATAAAATGAAAAGGACGGTTATGGGCGGGCCCGAAAACTTTTGGAGGAACAGGAGAATAAGCTTTTTAGAGCAGTACATGTAGAAACGTACTTAATTTTCCAAACAAATTTGTTCCTTTTTTTGTATTTCGAATTTTAGAAAATACAGTGCTGCGAAAAAGAATTATTCTTCGTTGATATTTTTTCTAGAAAGACAATTGTCCCACGGGCGAACCGTCAGTGAGAATAATTTTTTGAAAGTTTTATTCTATGCAAGAGATTTTCAATCAACTGGTTTCTCCACAAAAAACCAACAACATAGAATCATTGTAAAGAAGATGAAACCATATATTGGCTCTATAATCTTCAACAGTGGCGGCGCGAAGATGTTAAAACATGAAGATTGAAATTCGAAAAATCGGAGTAAATTCACTTTATTTTTTGAAGTAAATTTCTCATGTTTTTGGCTAAAATCGGAGTAAATTTATACTAAAATTTCTAAAAGCAAGAGTGTACATTCTTCCACACGCCAATGATCGTATCACTACTGACCTTCAAATGAAGATAATCAAAAGAAAACGAAGAAAAAAAACATAAACATGTGTCAAATTCTTTCTATTTCAAAGTTGATATCTTAGCATACCTGTAATGAAGATTGGTTAGGCAATAATATCAAGAGTAATAAACAAATGATTTTTTTTCCTGTGAATAAAAGATTACATTTATATGTGTCTGGTAGATATTTATTTAATTTTTCGTGGTTAAAAGTACGTTAGACTATTACAGAACGAAAAGTTAACGAGTAATTGCAATATTAGCGAGATTTATTATGTAACAGTGGAAGGATTATTTCTTTCGTTTTTTCACTAAACGATACAGTAGTGTCGTTGTCTCTACATATAAAACAAAAGGGAGATATTTATTCAACATATAAAAAAAATTGTGTGACAGTCTAAACTACCACTTATACCTATTGTAAATCTCAATTTTTTTTCTTCGGTGTGTGTATGTGTCACATAAATATACACAGATGTATATTGTTAGACGTGTGAACAGATATATGTTGAAAGTATGAACAAAATGAATGTAGAACAGTAATAAGACATTCTTCTTATCATAACATCAACAAAAAAGAAGAAAAAACAACAGGTCATTTAATAGCAATAGCAAATTATTTGAGACAAAAAAAAGAAATCTCGAATATACGAACTTTACTACTGTTATCATTATTATTATTTATTAATTTAAAAAGATGACTTAAAACACCAAATTTATGACGCTTCCCAGCAATAAATGAATCAAGAAAAAAAATCTGTTTACTTTATGAAGCATAAAAATACTCTATTAGTTTACAATATGTTTAATGAAAGACAGCTCAATTCTATAATTGTTCATATTTAACATGTGGTTTAAACATTAAAAAGAACAAAAATAGAAGACTATTAAAAAGTAGTTTTACTTTAGGATAATTTTCTTATAAAAGAAAAGTATTCAAATATGTTCTTTTTTTTATATAAATAACATATCAACACTATTTTCAGTGTTTATTGAGTGTGATCAAATTTTATATTTAAGAATGAAAATATGTTCAATGTAATATTATAGTAGCTTTAATTAGAGATAAACTCCTAGAAATAAAATTAAAAAAAATGTATTCTATCAAACTAGCTTAACATTTACCACTATTCTTTCTTCAACGTTCAAGAAAAAAACAGGTGCATCGAACATAACATGTTGGTAATCATGCTACAAAACATGGGATAAAACTGTTTATCAACTCTGAGCAATAATTATATCATTGAACTACACCAGAATAACTTAGAGAGCAAAAGAGATACTTTTTAAAAACATTCCGCGTATTTTGACGAGTTCTCAATCATTTCTGATCGGAACAATTTCTTAAATGAATATAATGTACAAAAATCTTGTGAAAGTGTTCGGAAGTTTCCGAGCCAGATCCAAAATACGGAGTGCCTTATTTCTATCTGGATACCATACTCTGTATGCCAGATGTTTCTCTCATACCATATGGATTTGATCGTTTAAACTCATTAAGCTAATTAAAGTAGTTCAAATAGTTTAGTAAATTATTTAAATAGTTTATAAAGGAATACTGATATAAAAATCTCTAAGTTTTAATTATCAGTCATGGTAATGAAGGATTTGGTAAATTTTTCGTCCGTCAAAGTTCACTAACGTCATAATGTTTGACCATGGTCTCAGAATAAGACTAAACGCTCGCATTTAAAGTTGTTTAATTCTTATTTTGTTAAAAACTAAGATAGATTAATGTTCTTCACAGTGGTTATGTTATTATATTCATTATTAAATTCTGCTGCTTTCGATGAGAGTTATTGATGATGCCAAGCTACTATTACCTGAAGATCAAAACCTTGCAACGATGTCAAAAAAACACCAAATTAGGATAGAGAGAAGACGAATTTTACAAATACTACAGTGGAAAAATAATTATCTCACAATTCACAAACAAACCACAATATTGAAGACAAAAACCAGAACAACGTCAATCCTTTTACGATCACGACAATAACAAGTAAAAAAATGACCACTCATAATAACGCGTGTAAGAGCTCGTAATTTAGGGCTATTTAAGGAAGCTAAGATCATAATAACGTATAATCTATCTTTGAAACACTGATAAATTATTATCATCAACGACGTTTAATTTATTACTAGTCACCATTGATAGATCTCCAGTCAACAAACGTCTGTCTCTTAAAAATTTAATAATAAGCAGTAAGTGTACTGACAGACTGGTACTGAAATTAAGAAGCTAATAACAGTAGGTTTTCTTTTTGACAAGTTGTTTAACAATATGCGATTCACGATCAAGTTAAACTGCTTTCATGGTAAACCCTCAATATATTCATCCCACTACTTCGATTTGATTAGCATAGTGCCAAAATCATGTTCTAAAAAAGGGACTACTAATAGTTTCGTGATGCTAATCTTACAGTGTAAAAAAAATGACAGTAGAACCATGAAAGATCGTGGTAAACGTATGGTGTCCAAAATTCAATCTCCAAGAAGGCGATGATACCTCACTTTTACTGCAACACACTTGGATTTTAGTTTGCTTTACAAATAAAATCGTGCAACTTTCTTTACAATAAGTAGAAAACATTTTCTATTGTATTTCAAGGTCACAATAAAACAGAAAATAGTATACATATCTCGTTAAGAAGCATCTATTTATGGCGCAAGCATCAGTTTTGAGCTGAATTCCGTCCAAAGCTTTCAGCTTTCTCGAACATCAAGTGGAAGAAACTAAAATATTGTCTTAGATGCCGCCCAAGTCCAAATTATTCAATGAACAAACAAAAGTCAGACGTTGCTGTACACTGAAATTAAAGAAGACTGTATTTCAGCTTCAAAAAACTCAAACAAATTTACTAAAATTTCGAAGATAATGTTTCGCTCTTGATTCTTTCA